ATTTGTTCTTATCAGTTCGTCACTAGTGACGCCAACCTCTGTGAGTCAGCAGGAAGAAAATCAGCTAGGATCTCCTCTGGTAACATCAAGCCATACTCTGGAAAAGATGCTGACATCTGCAGTAGAAATGGAGCTGTAGCAACAAGAACATGGCTTTTTGGAAACATGTGAATTAATTCACATGTGACGATGAATCTAATTAATATCAAACTGGCAGTTGCTAGCCTCTGACCTTTAAAACTCCTAGGCTTTAAAACTTCCTCCTCTCCTCATCCTTTGTGCTTAAAGCTGTTTTGAAATGTTATTTTGCAACACACCCTCATCCTCCAGATTTGATTAGTTTTTGAGCTGGCTACTAATATCATGTAATTCAGGTCATATGGAAATGTTACTTTTTAAGTACGTAAGGGCTCACAGATTCTATAAAAGCTTCTGTTTTCTCTTTTCTAAAGTGATAGAGGAAGGAAAAAGAGTGAGGAAATAGCAGCTAGTAAATTAATTTAATTCAGACTTAAAGTGGCTATAGGAGATGATCAAAAGGGGGTACAGAAAGGAATAAAAAAAAAGAGTTAATTAGTTGAAAAAAAGAATGATACAATGTTTAGGCAAGTTGTAGAGAATTGTCTGTGCCAGACAGCAATGAAGCTGATTGAGAAGGATCGGAGATCCCCAAAGCACTGATGACTCAGAGCAGGGCTGTGGGGGAAAAGACAGGACTTCTTAGGCTCGACCAGAAAGAAGACTCCAGAGAGATGATGGCAAAGCAATTATTGGGGGGGGGGGGGGGAGGAGGGGGGAGAGAGAGAGAGAGAGAGAGAGAAACTTTGAGTAAGAGAGAGGCTGTGGGTGTAATTAATATTATGTTGGGGGAGGGAATCTGGTCAGTTCCGAAAGCAGTACTAAGGCAGTGCCAGATGAGACCATCAGGGCACGGGACCTAGACCTATCCATTTTCAGCACTGATTTCCCTGACTTCTGAATGGTAGGAATACTAGAAACCATTAATCCAGTTCTGCCATTCCACAGATGAAGAAACTGAGTTCAACAGTGGTTGAGTGACTTATTTAAAGATGGTGTAATTCCAAAACAGGAAATTACAAGCAGTTGCTTCAGCACTAGAACCAGATCTCCTGACTCTTGATCAGCATCCTTTGCCATCACACCCTGCTGCCCAACTGAGGGGGAAAAGATGCTGCAAAAAAAAAAATCACGTCCATTCTCTGTGCCTCCTTTGACCAAACTGAAAAACGTGAATGATGCAAGAGGTAGCACAGTATGTAGTTAAAAGCTTAGTCTCTGGAGTCAGAGTGGTTGCATTTAAATCCTGGCTCCACTCTGTGATAAGGCTCCACTTAGCCTTTCTCTGCCTCAGCTTCCCTATCTGTAAAATAAAAATAATAACAGTACCCTGACTACAAGGTTGTTATGAGATCCAGTGAGCTAGTACAGGTAAAAGCTTTCAGAATTAGGGCTCACTCTTCTCCCCCACAGGCCTACTCTGATTAGTCACTGCTTTAGATATATCTGTCCTTCTAAATCAGATTTATGGCTTTCTAAATGTTATCTGATATTATATATAAACTCATACAACTATAGTTGGCATCATTCATTTAGATATCAGAAACTGCTTTGTGTTTTATATTGAGTAAAGTGCTATGAGATCCCTGAGGAAAAAATGATGTAGAAATGAGCTGCTACAATTATTACAGTAATAACAGCAATTTTGAAGAGTTCAAAGTGAAGTTGGGGATCTCTGGAAATTTCTCTTAAGTCTCTTTCCTCCTGTAGGACTAATTAAAAAAACAACAACACACACACCTCTTTGCCTACTCTTCATGTCCTAGCTTCCTCATTGCTATGCCACATCTCCTCCCTCCCTCTTAACTAGATTTGAAAAGCCCTCTGCACTCAGTATAACACCACCAGTGTGACCTCCTCTAAAGCATCAAACGTCACTACCTCCAGATTTCCCCCAGGGAGTCACTTGAAAATCACAACGTTATCCTAAAGATGTCTTTTCTGCAAGCATTTTGGTAAAGAACAGATGAGTATAGTCCCTTGACACTTGGGAGCCAGAATTGAAATAGGAACAAGATTTATGTCTGCAATTGCCATTTCTTCCTCTACACAAAGACATTGACTATTTTGGTTCAGCAGTTCCATCAGCATTTGGAATTCTGAAGCTCTGCTGTGAGAGTAAAAGATTAAAAGGGAAATGGGTACAGTTCAGACCTCAAGCTAGCCCTTAAGAAAGGGTAATCAGCCAATGTCAGCAAGGATGGTAGGAAAAGAAATAGTATAAATGCTCATTTCACCTCTGTCTTCCCAAATTTTACTATAGTATCTAATTTTTTTTTCCAGTTTTAGCCACTTGGGGCTGTTTCTATGTATCATGATGCCTGAAACATACACAGGAAAACTGGCGTATATTTTTTATTCATCCAGTCAGTGTAGAATACTCAGAAGGTACAAGAGAGTATTATGCATAATTATTATTCAAGTGCACCTTCTGGGTACCCCTTATCACTAGATTCCTGACCTGCTTTTCAGTCTCTTTGGTAGGTGCTCATCTTGAATAATTTGTTTTAGTTATTAATGGAAAATTGAAACTTATAATTAACTTCTGGGCAGGACATATAAGTCTATCTGCATATCCTGAAGAGTGATCCTAAAAGATGCCTAAATGAGGACCGATTATTTTTTAAAATTAATTATCCCTTATGATTGCTTCCCTCTATTTCTGGAAGAATGCCAATTTAATCCACTCTCTCAGTAACAACTCCTAGATATTAAAAAAGAGCTGATTACTTTGTTACATCAGCTTCTGCTCAGGAATCAACTTTAGAGGATAAAGTACCAAATCCTGGGCTTGGCATTCAAGGCCTTCCACAGAAGGCTCCAGCTTTTCATTCCAGCATATTCCCCTACACAAGCTTCACACTCCACCCAAATGGATGGGCATTTTTAGGGTTTGCTGACCATAACTTGGGCTTGCCTAACTTTAGCTCTGTCTATGCTGTAACTTTTACTTAGCAGACCTCCCCCTCCTCTCTTTAGTTTCCAAAAGCCAGCTTAAGTCCTGCCTCCTTTCTCACATCATAGTCAGCTGTCCATATAAACATGAGACTTTATATCCTCCAGGGGGTTCATTTATGTATCTGGTGCTCCCTGAATGATCAATAGCTTCCTATCAGGTTGGTCCCTGCTGGCAAGGGATGACATTGCAGAAACGTATCTAGCACAGAGGCTGTAAACACCAATTTTCTTATCTTTATAGCATTGCAAAGCAGTTCCATGATGTGAGAAAAATAGTTCATTCATAGTACATCATCTAAAAATCAGATTTATCTATTTTTTCTTTCATCTCTCTCAACTTATTTCTCAAATTATCTCTCATTTCTACTAATCATCAAAACCTAAATGTTCTGCTGAAGGCCAGTTGCTACAGGAAGAGGTTCTACTGGCAGAAACATCAATCTTTTGGTTGATAACCATCACTCCAGGCTTAACTCTCAGAGCTTAGCAATGTCTTTAGACAAGCTAATTAAGGGGCAGTTTATATTGTGTTTGTGCATGTGTGGTTGCACAAGTTTAACAAAGTAAAAATAAAATTGTGAATTCTTGGGAGATTTTATTATGGAAAGGTTAAGGAGATTATTGTTTTGTATTCTGAATGCTAAGGTGGTAGTGCAGAAAATGCCAATAAACAAAAAAGCAGGTACCATTAGAGCGTCTGCGTGAATGTTTCCTGGCATATCCCTATGTCCATCTGCCCCTGCCTCTTCTCTTCATATTGCTCAGAATTTTTAAAATTTAAAACCAGAAATCTCTTGATTTTTTTTCCCTGAATCTTATCAATAATGTAAATGTTAAATTGATGCTTCAATTATGTTTTCCTTTAATTTCTCAGTAAGCTATTCTAGAACTAGCTCGATAATTGTGCACATCGCCACTTCCTCCCAGATCTGTGCCCTTTGCCAGCTTCACTGCAGTCTTCTACCTCCGCACCCCCTCCTGCCCCCGCACTCCAGTCCTCCACTTGCAAACAAACCCAGCAGTAATTACTAATGTCCAAGCACGTAATTCCGGCAGCACTAGGCTTCTTCATTTGACGCAACTACGCAGAGAGCTGTCTGGACATGCAGCATAAAGTCGAAGCTTTCTGATAACTCCTACCCACCTTCTCTCCCCTCTTCCCATCACTAAGGCACAGTTGTTTATTTCATCTGCATACTGAAGAGTTATAAAAACGATTCCATGTAGTTATATACTGCTGAATAATAATTTTGCACCCATATATAATCACAAATCAATACATACTTACATGAAAGCACATGGTTACTCATAAAAATAATTATAAAACACTAGGAAATAAATAGCCAAGAGAAAATACCTTCTCTATGTGGACAGGGCATTTGAGCATTTCTAGTATATAAATGAATGGAGTTATAACTAACCAAACACAATCCAAGACCTTGAAGCTTTTCAGGAGATCATAATGGCATTTCTTCAATGCGTTGTATATGTCCTTACATAATATACTATTACTCTTATTTAATAACCACTCATATAGTCCAATTTTGCTCCTGATCACTATATGCATACTTTAACTATATAAAACAGCTGGAAATATCCCTGTGATAATTTGTGTTCACTAAGAGGCTCCAAGTCTCAGAGTAGACAATGGTTAAAGTACTTATCACCGGCCTCAGCAAAATCCCGCAGTGCTATAACAGAAACTGCAGTAGATCTGTAGGTCAGAGTACAATTTCAGTCTAACACCATGGTCCTTTCACATTACCGTGAAGGACACAGTTAGATTCTCCCAAGAAAAACCAGTCTTAGTGTTGTCAAAATCAGAAACTATCACCTGAGATAACCAATGTCCACAGGAAATACTTCCACTTACTCTGAAACCATGGCCAAAGAGGTTAAACATATATCCTCTAAGACCTGCAATATTTCTCAGAGATGTATTTTTTGGCTATGTGATTGGGTTCATGCCTAGGTATAAGCATGGGGGAGAAGGAAAAGGATGAGGGGTTCATTCTTAAAGTTGATTCTGCTTAAACTACCCCCATATTTTTGTCAAATACAAATATGTATGGAGATACAGCTCTCCTATAAGAAAATCCTATTGGCATCTTCCTGTATCCCTCATTTATGCCTACCAAAGTCTATAGACAGATCTACTCTGTGCTAAAACAAAAACAAACGAAAACCTTGATATTTAACTGGATAAATGAAGATTTTTTTCAAAATGTGTTTATTTCACATCTAAAAAAGGGAAACAGGGCCACACATAAAATTTCCACAAGTGGACTATTTATTTATTTATTTATTTATTTATTTATTTATTTATTTATTTATTTTTGAAGCTATACAGGAGCTGAGGGGATGAGAGAGCAGGTAATTGCCTGCAAAGGAGTACCTGTGGGCAGTATTTATTTTTTCTTTCTTTCTTTTTACCTACTATGTCTGCTTTATTAGGGGGTCTCTGTAAGACACAGGTCTGAGAGAGGCAATTTGGCCTGCAGCCCAGGAATCTAGCCCTGCCTGGCCAGGCATCTCTGCAGCAGATGCAACACTGGGGCCGGATCGCTGTCCGCGGTGCTGAAAGGTCGAGGAACCCAGAGCCGTCCCTTGGTATTGCTGTCCAGGGTACTGAGTGAGGTCGTCCGCAGTCCCCAAGGCAGCCCACCCCCGCCAGCTCTCCGAAGAACCCTCCCACCCAGCACGACCCGCCCGCCTCCCGCCAGCCCGCAGCTGACAAGGAGCAGGCGGCATAAATCAAGTCCGTAGGGCATGGAGGCTGCTGCCGCTGCTGCTGCGGCTCAGCTTGCCCGGGGCGGGAACTCCCCTTTCTGCTTTCGCCTCCTCAGCGTCCACACCCTGCCTTTCCCCCAATTCGTCCCTGGGTAATAGCGCCCTAACATCAACAGTCATAATAATAGGGTCAGAACGACAGGGTTTGTTTATTTTGGCCTACAGAAAAGAAGAAAAAAAAAACCCCAACAGCCTAAACATCTCTGAAAACTGCATCTCAAAATGGAAGAGAGGACCCCACTGCTGTTTCAAAAGAGTAAGTTATTATTTAGTACGTATCCTTGCGCTTCCTCCGAATCGCTCCATCAGCAGTGTCTCCATTCATCTCTTCCCCAAGCAGCTCACCTAGAAAACACTTTAAAAAGCCCCAGGCAGGAGTCTTGCCAGACGCGCACACACGGAATACCGCACCCTAGGTGCACAAATACTTGTATTTGCCCAAGTTCACTTGGTCTGCCCAGCTACAGACCCCTGTGGGTCTGCAGCCATCCAGCCAGATCCACGACCTGGGGAGTGGGCTCCTTACCTTGGCTTCTCCCGCGGGTGGTGTTCTCCCGGACCCTGCAGGTTGCAAGTGTGGAGGAGCCACCGGGCTGGGAGAGAAGGAAAGACAGCGCCTGACCTCCCTGAGGTTTCGTCTTCAGTGCAACGTGAGCTCTGCCCTCATCAAAGATGGCCGTCCCTTTTGACGTCAGCAGCTTTTAATAGCCACCTCCTGGAGGGGCGGGGGA